CGGGGGTAAGCTCGGCTGAAAGGGGAAAGTCGGCGCTTGAGAGAGGGCGTTAGCGGGGAGCTGCATGCGCGGAGGTGACCGAGCTCCACCTGGGTCTGTGACAGCCAAGCTTTTCGTAAGATCTCACAGCTACTCTTGCCTTACGTTTTAGACAAACTTAGTTCAAGTATTTTTAAATTATTTGGTTTTAAACCTGCTCTGAGCTTCAAAAAAGCTTCCACGCAAAATAAACAAAAAAGTACAACCTTTAAAGAATTCATTTATTTAAAAGACTTAGAGCTTCAGGATCCAAAATTTTAATTAATAATTTTGTCCGAGTTTGGGAAGCTAGTCATCTAGTGAAGCCAGATCAATTTAAAACGGACACACTAGGCTCCGGCTCCTCCAAGTATCATTTCATCAGCAACCCAGCTCAGAACCTGCACATTTGGGCAAGCGCCTTTCAAGTTCGAGTTTGGGATGGGCCGATGCAACTGTCCAACACAACACAGGAAAACAATGAAAAAAAATAACACACAAGGAAGCTGCTGGGTGCCTGCAGTGGGGGAGGGAAAGGGAGAAGACAGCTTGAATTTTCACCTGTGGTCAGTACAAACCCCTGCAGCAGCCTCATGAGGGAGGAAGTGAAGAGCCATCAGTACTGGGCAGAGGTGACACTTAGAATTAAGCACCAGAGAAATAGAGCCACCGAAGCTCTCAGACTGAGATCCAGACAGGGCAATGAAGACTGGAACGTGACGCTAACGCAAACTCTTACATAGGATGGGGTGCAAGATCATCAATATTTAAGCACAGAATACCAAGATCTTCATATGCGATGAGCAGAGACAAAACCAAAGCATCCTTCTGCTGAGACACGGCTCCTAAGGAACAAGTTGGGAAATGTCTGCTCCAAAGCACAAAATGCACCACAAACAGTGTATCTAGAAAAGTTGAACATTTTATTGTCATTTATGAGTACACCATTTCTGATTTTAGAAATACAGACTCTTTGCAAAGCACTGAAATACAGGTGCCTTCAACTTCTAAAACCTACATTTTTCTATGTCTTACAAACCTTTTATACTAGCAATTCAAGTTTGGTCTTTGCTGCAACAAGCTCTTCAAAGATGCAAAGATATAGTTCTAGACTGTAAGACAACGAACCAAGTTTCAAACGCCACCTGCCAGTGAGCCATCAAAACCATTACTTTCAAATACCGAGTCTATGATGTTCTTGTACTTTGTGCCCATAATGGAGTTCACCTTTGAAAATCTTAAGTTAGAGGATTTTCCAGTTAACTGTCAACTGGTATTTCCATTACAGCACCTAGAAGCAAACAGAGACTCTGCAAATACTAGTGCTCACAAACAAGTTATGTTTACACAAAACCCAGAGAGGCCTCCAGAAACATTCAAGGTTAAAATGAACAGTTAACAGTTGCAAAAATCTGTACATATTTTCAGTCATAACACAAGGAAACACTGGAGTATCAGTGTTTTGTGTTCTAGCTTCAATAGTGACAACTGTGCTACTCCTAGTATTCTACATGTTTCTCCCTTCCCCCCATTTACATTTTATAATCGCAATCTGAATATACAGCTGTACTTACAGGAAATATTAAACAATGCACAGCGCCTTAAGCAAGTTCCATGTCTGGTTTTGAACAAACCATATAAAATAAGTGACAAAATAGTTTAAAATTGGTCCTTGATTAGGATTACTTATTTTTATACAGCTTGGAAGCACTAAATTTAAAGACACACATTTATTATTAACCAGCACAAATTATTCTGTAGCTGCTTTTTTCCTTTTTTTTTTTTTTTTAAAGATTGTGTTACAGTATCATGCATGAAAAGCAAGCTGCTGCTCCCAAGTGCAAACATGGAGTTTAGACTAAATGCTTTCTCCTCAGGTTGTTATTCTTTCTTTCATAAATTATTTCAACATAACCAAGAACAGAAGCAGCTGACTAGCAAAACAGTATGAAGTTCACCTTTTACGTTGTGACCCATCCTTAAAGTAATGGAATACTTTGGACCTTTAGCATAAGGAAGGTTCAATAAACACTGCAAAGGGTTTTTACATTCTTTGATTTCATTTACATCTTCAGGAAGAAAATTCTATATTTTAACTCACTAACTAACGAATCATCATCTGGAGACTGTAGTATTGAAACAGTGCAAGACATTTGCAACTTCAGGAACATCCAATTACACTGTCCTTTCACCCAAACAATGATTAGTAGAATATTGCATCAATCCTAGATAAACAAGACAGGACAGAAAGCTCATTTTAGAAGAGCATTAGGATTCCAAAATCTTTTATATTTAGTGAAAAGAATCCACACACAGATATGCACAAAGGACTCCTTACATGGACTTTATCACAACAAATGTAATCCAGCTGTAAGTCTTGGAAGTACACTTTTTATTGGTATGAAGCCGTATTTGTTTAGAGACCACGACTAGAAGCTCCATTATTAGTGCTTCAACATCTGGGTTTTTTGACACATGAACAGCATCAGAGTGCTCTCCGGTCAAGCCAAAGACCAAAAATTCAGCTGAAACAGCCCAGGTGGACTATGAGCTCAAGCAGTCCGCTTATGCCCTAAAACACTCCAGACACCAAAAAGCTGGCTTTCATCTTTGCATTACCTCAGTAAGAGTGGAGCCCCCTCCACTAATGCAATATTCCAAAGACCATTGCAACTAAGCTGTCCAGTCAGGTCTCAGTTGAAAGCTACCACCACCCAAAGACACGATTTTCTTTCCCCCCCACCCCCCATGCTGCCAAGGAAGAATGTTAAAAAGACCACTATTCGGTGTGGAAAGCAGGTCAGTAGAGACTCCAAGTGTGGCTAGAGGAATCCTCAGTACCAAGCCGCTTTCCACACACACAAATTCAGTCCATCTTCTCTTTCTGGACCAGCTTGGGTGCATCTACAAAATCCTTGCCGTTGTAAAGGATGATAGCGAAAGTTCCAAAGCTTGCACTTCCCCAGAAAAGCACATAGGCCAGTGTCTCAGTCCATGTATCACCTGTTAAGAGTCAGATAAGCATTTTAGTTCATTATCTCCAATTACCAGAGAAGTGTTTTTAGTACAAAAGCAAAATATTTCAAGCCCTCCCTCAGAGGTCTGCTGTCAAATGAAGTTAGAAGTCCTTCATGGGTACAGGGGTCTTTTCTTTTTGTATTTCCTTACCTAAGAAAACTGTGTTTGCCACACAGTTCTTAGAACATTTTGAACAGACAGCTACAGAAGTGAGAGTCAAGGACTGTTGGCACTAGTGTTAGAAAACTCAAGGGAAAAGCAGAAGGCAAAAACCTTCACAACTCCCAACACAGTTTTTGATTAGGGGGACATCCATCAGAACAGGCTTATGCCTATATCTGACTTTTCTGAACTGTCTTTCTGCCCAAAATTGGATAGGTATTCTTCTGGGGATTCATCCAGCCTATAATAAAGCTAGATGTCTACTCAGGTGCAACTAAATTTGGGGGCACCTTAAGTGACTTCTACAAAAGTTTTAACATTGTTTTCTATAGTACCTCAGGTTTTTCCACATTAATGATACACTGCTAACCCTCAATCTCCAGAGCCATACTCAAACACCTTTTAGTATGACTGAGAAGCAATTTTGTACTGAATAGTTTCCAGTAACCATTTATAGAAAGTCCACACATAAGCAAGCTAATTTTGTGAAATTAAACTCAATAGTGACTTACCAGCCATCAGCAAACAAATAATGCACATGGAGAAAGCAACCACCATAATAATAGGCAACTGGGGAAAGAGAAAAAGAATATTCACTTGATATAGTAGCACATATATTCCTTAATTTCCTTTCAGATGGCCTGTACTGCAAAGCTATTTACTTGCTTTGCAATAAAGTTGATTTAATTGCTGATTCACCTGCTGTCAGGTACAACTAAAATTTCAGATAGTTCCAAAATTTGGAAGAGTGCATTCAATAACTAGGTTAAGAATTAAACTACATCTTCTATCTATTAAAAGAGAGGTTGAGGTTTGTGTTTTGGTTTTTAAAAAAAAAAAAAAAACACCAGCCACTAATTAAAGCTGTAGTGTCCCCAAATCCCATTTCACAACACACAAGGGAGAAGGGAAAAAAAAGGTTTTTTATGTTACAGTCTATGCTTCTGCATGAAGTATGAGAAGAGATCTTCACACGTTTCTTCTGCAGAAGGAAACAGTCATTGGTGGTGACTAGCAGAATTTCTCCCTTTGCACTTGATGAAGCAGATTTAAAAAAGAGAGCAAGCAGCAGTTTTTTCAATACCTCAAGGACACTCCATTTTCTGTCAAGGGAACAGTCTGGGTTTAGTCCTATAAGCAGGTATCATAGAAACATAACCAGATTATAGGGATGCTTCATTACTAAATAGACAAGTTCTACTTAGTCATATGAAACAAGTGACTAAAAGGTTGTATGTGTTTCTCCAATCATGAATAAAGTCTCCATACTCACAGCTAAGAACTTCCAGTCTTTCTTGACATGTAGAGGACTAGCAGGTTCTACTTCATCCACTGAGTAATTTCCAAGAAAAAGATCAATCGCATCCTGGATGAGAAATGGAGAGCAAGAGTTAAAATGCACAGCAATGTTTATCAAATACATTTCCCCACAGCTAAAAGCCTAACTTACTTGTCTAAATCCATCAGAAAAGTTATTTTTGTAGTAACGTATTAATGAGTTCCAGCCATCCATTATTAAGCCCCACTGAGTTCTCTTCCCAGTTCTGCGAAAAAAGTTTTGAAAAAATTGTAAAATAGATTTATAAATTCAGGAAGATAATTTCAGATTTACAGTTCTTTCATTGTTCAAATGTGTACTATGTTTAATGAATACCTGCATGTAAATACATTTATCTAGTGCTGCCTCTGCATTATTACCACACATACTTGTAACAAAGTTTGAAAGTAAAATTACACTTCTCTCCATCCCACAATATAATATTCCTTGAAGAGGCACATTTTCTTGGTTTTATTTCCAGATAGCCTTTTCTCCTTTCATATAAACACAGTGAAGAATGGTATTCTGTAAATTTTAGTATGACATTTTACCACTTGAACCATTGCAAAAGTCATTAATGGTCTAAACCCCAAATTAATAACCTTCTCAGATACGAAGAGATTTCAAGAAAATCCAAAACATGCCCAAAAACCCAGAAATCCTTTACAAGAAAGGCTGACTTGCCTTGTGTAATCTGTCTTTAAGGCACCAGTTCCAGCATATTGTTTGGCACAAGCGTTAGCATTATCAGCCCATGCTGTGAATAGGAAAACATAAAGAAAGATTAAGGAAGTTATGTACTCTGTTTGGAAAAAAGTGATTGTTTGAACTCTATAAACAGCCTACCATTTTTGTAGATTTTCTCAAAATCTGCTTGCTCTTCAATTCTCTGTCCAACGTGCAGAACACCTAGCCTCTAAAACAAAAAGCATATTTTTGTTTGATAGTAGTTCGCTAGAAAAATTAGGATTTGCTTTCAGAAAAAGCTGTGTTTATTAAACTAGAGTCTGGCCAATGCATTTCAAGTAAGTAGTACAGTAACTCAAGTGTGCAAGCTCTTATTGAAGCATTAAAATTACATTTCCATTTGCAACAAAGCCTCTCTCCTCTTCCAGCTTGTTAAACAAGAATAAAGTATTTACCTGAAGCTGGGCTTGAAGAGATCGGCGTGCTAACAAGCTCTGAATCACATTAGTCCGATCAAGGCAGTCCATGCAGTTTCCTGCTGAGTCACAATTTTACCATCCGAATCAACTAGAAAATAACTAACACATACAATCCACCTAAGTATTTATAGATAACAGTCCATACATAAACCACATGTTTTCAGAAGTGAATATTCTAGCAAGCAAAACACAGCTGTCTTGAGCATATGAGGAGTTCTTAGCCATGTCTTTGAACTTTGATGCCTCCCTGAATTCTTCCCCTTCCACAAGATGCTGAAAAACAGCAACGAGATATGAACATTTAGTAATCTCAGGGCAGTATTCACTCTTCACATTTAGAGAGCCAACCAGCAATATTGAGTTCTGTGCCACTGGGAAGAGCAGCTTCTGGTACAAAATCAGTGACTTACATTTTATTTTTTTCAGTTATTACAGGGTCCTAGCTCCACAGATATCAAGATCATTAGCAGAGTGTAACAGCAGAAGTAACCAGATTTGTATATACCTGGTCACCTGGTTCAATCCAGTCACCACTGTGTACAAAGTCACATAAGCTGTCAGGCATACTTCTTCCAGGAAGGTATTCAAATCTTTAAGGCCACTACTGAAATGTGCTACTGTCACTTACTCTTCTCTCCATTATGTGAACCTCTGGGGGAACCAGAGGTTCCCTCTTACAACTGCATATGCTAATTGTTACCTCAATCTTTTTAATCAACTAAACCAGGTGTTTCTAGTAATTGATAACAAACAGATCATTTTAAATACTGAATTGCACGCAAGTATTCTGATAACTGAGCTGGCAAAACAAATATGCTGATCAAGTTATCAATTGGATGTGTGAATGGGACAAAACTATACTTGTCCTTCTGCCACAGCATTAAACTTCCAGTTGCCTAAAGATTTACAGATCATATTCTGTAGATTAAGTTACTCCATTATGTAATTATGAACTCTGAATGTGGACTAGCACATGATCCACTGTTACTTCACAGCATTTTAAGATTATAAAGTCTTAAGAGTCATGCAGTACTAAAATCAAGAGCCTTAGAAGCATATACATTTACTTTGAACAACCTTGTGTTAACAAGACCCATTTTTGTCATTCTTGGAGAACTAGTTTTGTTAAACCGAGTTTTACATTGTTGTATGATTAAAGGAGACAATAACACCTGTGAAATCTTCATTTTCCCCCCTCCCCCCCAAACTTTGCCTAGAACTGATATTAGGATAATTAGTGTAGTTGAAGAGTAGACATTTCTGGTTAATAAGATAGTTTAAGCGCGGCATCTCCTACTGCTCTAAAAAAATTAAAACAAAAAACCCTCACCAAACTAAACACCTCCCCCTCCTAAACCCAGCAAGCCAGCTCTCCTTTCTGATAGGTCTTTCACAACTGTATTTAACCTGCAGAAAGTAGATTTGTTTACCTCCTCAGGGTTGCAGAACTATTTTCTAAGAATATTAAGCAATAGTCACTCTAGATGAAACAAAACAAGCCAAGGTAGAGCCAACCTAATCTTAAGAAAAAACTTTCATTTTTGTATCTTGTTTTAGAGACACATGGCCTTCCCGCCCCCCCCGCTCTTTTTCTTCATTTCAAGCAAACCTGGTTCTTTTGTAAGCCTCCAATGGCAGGTGACAGGAAACAAGTTATGTGATTCAGTATTCACTCTAAGAATAAAGGATCCTTGCTGCATAGGCAACCTACATGCTAATTTCTCTTTATTTGAAGTGCCCAAAGCCAATTTATTCTTCAGCTCTTCAGGTGTTTTTTAGGCTTTTTTTTTGCTGGTGGGCAGAGAATATTCACTATCATCTGGTTAATTATACTATTCCCACAGCCTTCATTCCAGGTAAGAGATTTCATTCATGAGACTCCTATTCTAGTCCACAGCTCACCTAATTTTTTTTAGGATAGAATATACCACTGCCAGTTTTGTAATGTTTTAGCTAATCTACTTTGTACTTTAGGCACAAGCCTTCAGGAACAGGAAGGAAGCAATCAGAAAAGCAGAACAAAGTAAATCATTTCCCTAACAATCCACATGTCTACAAGTAGCAAAGACCAAGAAGTGCTTAAAACAACACAATTGTGGGACTCAAAGATTTAACTTGATTTGGACATTTAGTCTACTTTTATATGACTAAACAAAATGAGAATTTGTTTCCTTGTAGGTTACTTATGTTAGCAAGGGCTAACAATCAGTGATCAGTGCCAGTGCCAAGGTTTGGTGCCACAAACAATGTGTGTTAGAGAAAACACTTTTAAAAGGAGGGCGGGTGCCTGTGGAAGGAGCACTAAGTGTTTGACACTGTGTAGCAGGACAGTTTGCTGTCAACAACACATGGAATTACTCTTGGATTAAAAAAAAAGTATCACCTAAGGAGACTTTTTTTTTAAAATAGCTTCAGTTGTATGCATGCTCATTTCTTTGTCTAACCTTTTACCCAACGGTACAAAGGCAGCTCTTGAGTCACAATGGGGGTTGTTACGATTCTCAGAACCATTTTATTGGGACATATTACCCACTACCAGGTCTGTAATCTTGCACATGGTATCAGCAAGAGATTAGAGATATGGAAACACTAATGCATATGAATGTATCTTCTTTATAGAAGATTACAGGTCTGTTTTACTGTGCCTTAACTCCAGACAATAGAAACTATGAGAAAGTAGTTTCATTTTAACAGTACAGAAGTAAAAAGAACTGCAGAGCCTTACCTAAACTCATCTTGCTGTTCTGCTAGTTGATCCATCAAAATCTGAAGTCGATCCCACCTCATCCGACTGCACTCTTTATGGAAGTCAAATGCTATGTATCTGTTCAGAGAGAAAAGCATCTTTTCAGATCACATATGTACTCCAGTGAAGGACTCCAACAACCCCACAGGGAAGGGCTGATCTATAAAATAGGTTGTGACAGAGGATTTTTTTGCTTAGAGATGGCTTCCAGCAAATATCTGTGGATTTTGTCAGTGCTCTGTGATCTTCCCGAGGCTGCACCCTTAGTGTGCATGGTGACAGCATTTAAATTTCTTTACAAGATGCCACTAGTCTGGGGAAGCACACATTCAGTTCCAAGTTACTCGTTCTATATTCTGGCTAGTATTTTTCCTCCAGAAAGTACAAAAGGGATATGCATCTGATTTCATCTCCCTTTTTTCCACCAGGATTCTTTTGCCCTCCTCTCTTCTAAGCATTAGGAACTTCCGTTCACTTTGAAAGAGACACAGGTGTTGAAATGCAACATTCTTTGCTGGCATGCACCATAATTCCCTTGATAGCTCTCTAGAAACCTGAGACAGGTTCTGTTCAAACAGCTAACCTACTCTGTCATAAGAAAATTAAACAGCTACTGACTCGGAACAAGACTTTAACAGCCAATTCACTCCTGGTAAGAAGTGCTCTAGATGAGTGGTGTTTGAATCAACTTTTTTTTTTTCCCCACACATTTGCTGTGAATTACGGGGCATTACATTCCTCTCCTCAAGTATTCATAATCCAAAAGTTATTATTTGCCAAGTTTTCAAGACTATTTGCATGAAGAAAGATGGTATGTATACACTGAAGACTCAAGTCTTAGTCTGGCAGGTAAACGCTATCAAAACTGACTAACAAAGAAAATGGATTTTGGCAGCATTAAGAAAACGGGGCTGACAAACACCACTTTTTAACATATACAGAACAAGCAGCATTTCTAAAACACACCCTGACAGAATTTTACATCTTGGTTTCCACCACATGATTTTATAGCAAAGATGCACAGAATTCCACAAGCTTTGTATAGCTAAGGTATCAATATCAACCTAGGTGTGAGAGCAAGGAAAGAGCTCACCTTAGAAGTGGTCTTTTTTAACAAAAACAAAAAAATCCACGCCCACACACCAATAACACACAAACGCACCCCTGAGATAGTAAAAGAAGCACATAGAGGTGAGACAGACATCTATAACTACCCTGGTGAAGGCAGCAACATCACACAAGCAGAAAAAAGCTTGGAAAAAATTCAAAGTATGTCAGGATTTATAAGGGCATCTTGATTATACTCTGCAATTCCTTAGTTATGCTTAGACAGAAGTGAATCCTTATTAAAACAGGATGCCTTTTTGCTTATGGGTAGGATTTTGTCCTTTGACATACATGAGTGATAGTAATGCTATAAAGCAATTTCAAGGAAAAGGTAGAGGTAAGTATCTGTGGGAGTTGGATGCTAGCCCGCCCTCTAGAAGTTAGTGAAAGCAAGCACAGGCAGGTTGTAAAATTGTGTACTGCACTCAGGATTCCCACAGAGATGGAATTTCTCTTGTGATTAAAGTGCATTCTCTACTCTCTTGGTCCATTGTTAGACTGAGGTCCAGACATTTAAATTGCATGGTCCCCTTACTGTTTCCTCCTTTATCCCAATACTGTTTTGCTCACACTCAGCACTCCCTTACTAAGTTAGCAATGTTACCAAGCCCTTTTGCCAGAAGCTAGTTCTAGAGGGCATGATTTCTTTTCCCTAAAATGCCAAAGGTCTCCACAGTTCTCATAGCATACTATTACTCCAATACCGGCATTACCATTGCCTCTGAGATACCCTCTTTATTCTGTCTCCTCTCTTTGTCCCATATTTGCTTCACGGTCTCATTTCTGCTTAGAATGTGAGCTCTGAGGTAGGGGCATTGGTCATATGCAAGTTACTTCATAAAAATAAAACTCAAACAAATCAGACAGTTGGTAAAGGCCCCCCAAGAACTGATCACTCTCTGGGTCTCAGAGGCAATGCTCTACTTTTAACACAGAACATATATCATTTTACTTCACATGTACCTGACCATTCCATTTGCCATGCTGTTAACCATTTTTGCAAATGTTTGCTCAAGAGGCTTCTCTGAACCTTTTTGGTTAACCTGGAAGAAAGAAGAAAAAAAAGACAGTATTACTCAAAACTCTGCTTAAAAGAACCACAGCTTTTTCAGGAAGAAGTAGTGAAAGCATACCAAGTTAACAATCATTTGCTTTCCATAGCTAATTATTTGCGAGTCAAAATGTCTTTGGAAGCCATCCATCTAGAAGAGAAAGGAAATGTGTTGACAGATGTACACTACTATTAAGATCTGTGATTTACAAGAAATTACTACAGTCATCTTTTTTATGATACTGCATAGGTAGTTTTATAACTAAGAAAAGCATTTGATGTTCTCTATTGTGCTGATACATTTCTACTTTCATCCCCACAGTCCATTCAGCTCTCCTTATTAAATAAGCCACAGAAAACAAGTATTGTGCAGCTACTAAAACAGTTGCAAACAAGAACCAAAGAGAAACTAGCCCCACTGATGACTGAATTTTTTTCAGGCTCTGAACTCATCTTAAGGAGTACAAGGCTTCTTGCTACTACTTTTTAAACATAAAGCTCAATCCAGTATTACTGATTTTTATTCTTCTGATTACAGTTTGTTACCCTATTACACAAACATGAGCCCAGAAATACATTAAAACCCCAGGACACAAACACTCACATACATGATTTACTGACTTGCTGATCTGTGGCTTTGGTTTATACTTGAGGTTTGGTCTTTGAGACCAGAAAAAAGGAATTGATCCACGGGTCTGCAAAAGAATGGAAATAGTTTTAAGCAACAAAACTTATGGACTTACTTGCCAAATAAAGCAGAATGGTTTAGATTGTTTTTTGTATGCATGGATATTTTATATATAATCTATATTTAGAAACATAGACAGAGCTATTTATCTATATATCTTAAGCCACTGAGCAGTTCCTGACACTGACTTTACCTGAACAAATGATGCTTTGCTCCCCTTGTAATGCACAATTTGTTCTGTTTCAACAAAGTTAGCAGCATGTCCTTCTGAATCAATACCTATGCAGGAGAAAGACCTTGTTAAGCAGCTCAGATTGGCTGCAGAACAGTGACAGTATATCAGCAAAAGGCTTCCTAACCCTTCCCTTTTAAGTGCTCACAGAAAGCATGAAAATACCACAGAGCTGCCGGAAGATGGTAAATTAAACACACCTTTGGCAAAAGTTTAACATGATCTGTACTAAATTTAACTTGAAGAAGCACAGTTGTGCTTAACACATTGATATTTATAGTCCTCAAAATTGAGTAGTTTAATATAAAATAAAACATGAGTGCTTTGACACTGAAATATTCACAATTCAATAGCAATGGTACTGCAGAAACTGACCAATTTCTTCAAAAGCATGTATGCTGGGACTAAGAACACAGAAAGGAATTTAAATCCATTTCCTTGTTCACTTTTTAACTTGAAACAATTAGAGAACACCACTATTCAGGGCTCCCCTGCTAGCACCAATAATGCTCTAGTTGAATTTACTGCTAGGCCAAAAGGGCTATTACACATTTGCATTTAACTCCAATAAAAACAGTAAAGTGTTAAAAATGCCTACAAAACTTTTGCAGTTATCTCTAGGAGGAATAAAGACGAGTCAGTTTTAGTAAATACCAGAACATGCTTCAATTCATCATACAGGTCCCTAATATCTTCTTTGGAGCAAGGACCTCTTGAGACAAACTATTATAAGCATTTTTTTGTTCAAGTCATTATACAGAAATTACTCTTAAAGGTAAGTCACATGCACAGATGGAATTCGCATTATTTTAAAATAAATCAATTTGCCATTTTACCTCTTACATAGTAGCGTACACCAGCCCTGAAACAGCTTCTTCTGGAAACAAGCAGCCAGTCAAAACACTTGCCATTAATAGAACAAGAGTGCATAGTGATGACTAATGAATAACACTAAGGAAAAACCCCCAAAATTTCATTAGGATATTTTGATATATCAAGAGGTAGGAAACATCAAGGAACCAAGCAACCACATTCAATGAAACCTGTAAACATTTTTCACACCAGTAACAGTTGAACATTACACTTGAGAGAGAGTAACTTAATATTAGGATCGGTGTGCGTATCACAAAAGGATAGGCAATAGGTGACGTGACTGATGAACACACATTAAAACTGCTATAATTTTGAGAAAACAGGATTCTAAAGAAGATTAATCTGGTCTTATCGTCTTATGTATATAATTAAATGGACTGACTTCTGAAGTTCTATTCAGTGCTACATTCATCTCATCCATAATTTTATTAAGTTACTTTAACAGTTTCTTGCCCCTATTACTTCTAACAAAAAATACCACTCCAAAACTTTTGTCTAGGCTTTTAGAAGAGTGAATATCTTGGGCTGTTATACCTTGCACTTGTAAGTGCTACATACATCCCATTTACAGATGCCAGAACTAGCAGCAAGATAGACTGGCTTTCAAATCCATGCCAAGAAAAAGAATGAACATATACCAAGTCTCCAGTGGGAGCTTCTTAGGTAAGAACGCTTTCCTGCTCAGGCTGGATACCCAAAGTGGCAGATACACCATAATCTGGGACTAATCAACAAACAGGGGTCACTGACAAGTAGTTTTGGTTTGAGAGTCTTGTTCTGTGCTTCTTATAATTGCCTTTATTTGGACTACAGTAAACTATCAAGTCTAGTAGAGACCAGCATTCATCATGAATAACTTCTGCCAGTAGATTCACAGACTCTCATCCTTTGCCCCTAAAAAACTGAAACCTACAACTTTAAAGCAAGCAAAAGATCAAAATGGTCAATTTTTGCAAGCTGCACTATTAGCGTGCTGCGGTCTTCTATTCTTTGAGGAATCTAAATACTTTGTCTTAAGGTTGGTAAAGTAAACAAGATGTATTTTCTTTTTTAAAATAGCACATTTTACAGTGATTCTGCATTTATGATTCAAATGGGACATAAAGCAGCTGTGTCACACATGAGCACCTAAGCTATGTTAAAGAGCACACTGACTGCATACACAGAACATCTTGATTTATGTGTGCATTTGTGCTAATACTGTTTGTTAAAAATTAAAAAATATAATACAAATTGGCCCTACATAATCCAGAATGTTCTCACAATTTTAAATTAGACTGTGAAAAAGACCTATTCCTCTGCTTTTCTGGAAAATTACTGCCAGGTCCTACACCCTTTAATCCAAGACTTGTACAACGAACAGTTTCCTGCAAAGAAAGGTTACCTCTAAACTTAGCTGTTTAGCAGTAGTCAGCCCATCTTCTGTCTGCAATCTCTGTCCTAACTTAAATGGCAACTTGCTATTGGCTACTTTCCACACACACAAAAAAAGGAAAATACATAATTTATTGTTCTTTATAAGGGTTTTTTTTTTGAGCAGCAAGGCAAATATTAAACGTAGTTTAGGCTTTAGATGATCAAAGTCTCGATTACCCAAGTAAGCCCATTATTTCTTATCACTGCAAGACTAGAACCCCAGCCCAGATAGTTGAACAAAATATATTTAGGTTTATATGTAGGGTGGGTGTGGGGGTAACGAGTCTTTGATTTTACTGAAATAACTGCTAGTGGCACTGTAACAGTTCTGCTTAGGGCTCTTCCTAGCGTTTTCATCACTAAAAATCCAGTTTCTTTGAATTCCTGGGTTCTCTAAGGTGTTTGATTAGTATTAGAATTACAGCAAAACACACATTACTTATTCTAATTATTTATATAGTGAAAATGGGACAGAGGAAGGTGTTAATTGCAGTCTGCCAATTGCTAATTGCAATCCACCCAGACTCTTCCACCCAGGACTTGCAGGATAAGGATTGGGTTGTTCTGACAGTTCCCTTTTGCTGTCTTGCCTTGCCTCTCCACCTACTCCTGCAACATTTTCCATTAAATGAAGTCACAGGAAAGAAGGACTGGAGATGTGCCAGTTGTTAACAGTCCTACCAGAACAACCGATCCAGTCTGGAAACTGTTCCCTGCACACACCCAAGGGGCCTTTGCAATGGAGCAATTAAGGAGAATGTGTCATGAGTTGCTCTGTCCAGTCCTGCCAGTCCTTTTCAAGCTGCCAGTCCAAGAGCACCTGGGACTTACTGTTGATCACACACTGCAGAGGAACACTGCCTCCAGAAAGCATTAGGCTTACTCGCAGCATACACCCCTTCTCAAAAATAAACTCATGACTGCTGCTAAAAAGGCTGTTACCCAAAGTGTTGGTGCAGGAAAAGTAGCTGGCTAGAAGTGTTCCAGGAGCCTTCAGTAGAACTCCTTATCCTTTTATTCATCAACGGGAACGTCCATAAGCACTCCTTCAAGTCAAAACTGTCCTCCCTTATTTTAAATCCAAAGTAAATACTTAGTGAATGTATCCTTATAGCAAGATAAAAAGTACTAAGGCTGATGTGAGAGAATTTGCCGTATTCATCTTAACCTTCAATCCCATTGAAAGACAGTTATGCAAGTCATCCCTGTAAAATTAAATCCATTAAGCCTCAAAAGCAGAATATTCAAGTGAGTTAACATCAGTGGGCTACCAAACAATATGTAATGCTCATATCTGAGCAAACTACAACTTAATTCTGACACTCTATGTTGTAGTTGCCAACATAGCCAATAGAGCAAAATGGTTGCTGATGTGGCTGCTGTTAGATTACCATATTCAGCACTGAGCTTTACAACATAGAAGGATACATCCGTGCATCACAGGCGTAGCAAACCTATGGATCTGAAACACACACACAAACAATACATGTTAAAAATATTAAATACTAGCAGCCAAAAAAGGTAAGTGAGTGACTATGCTTTGTCTAGGAGGGTTTCTGATAGTTTTATATACTTTATATCCTATACTTTTTGCTTAGGGTGCAGTAATTCTGAAAGTTCAAAGAAAACAGCAACATATGTAACCCTTACCAGCAGCAGGGAAAAAGTGAAGTCTAATCCTAATTAAGTGACCTTGACAAAAAACCAAAGCTGCTTTGTCCTCCTATACATGGCATTTACTCTTCTACAAAGATGCCAGATATAAAGCAGTACACACTGAAAACCTTCCGATGTGGTATTTGCTGTACCTCCACAGTACGATGTAAGCAGAGATAGTAGTAAACAACACAGGGCTTCAGTAAGGAATACTTCTATGTGATTAATACTTGAAATGCTTGTTCCAGGGTTTTTCCCATCCTGCCACTCCTGAATAACTTGGTCTTTTAAAGAAATTTAACATTAAAATTTTCCAATACTAGAAGTTCAGAAATACCACATCCCATTACCTAAAACTGTTACTACAGCAAGCCACCTGTAGTCAGTATTAGGTCACGCTTCCCCTCACATATCAGTTATCTCCCTTTTCAACTTCTGTGTTTTGCCTCCTACGTCTGTTTTCACCAACCAGCCACAGTTGGCTTTCTTTGCTGTTCCCACCACAGCTTCTCTCTCATTTCCCACGCTTTGTTTGCTTAGCACTATCCAAACCATATACCCAGTCATATGCCTCTGGAGTATGCACAACAGCCCTTTTCTGATTCGTATCTTCACATTCCACAAGCACTGCACAAACCAGCCTTTTGGAACAGTGCTGTCTAATGTAAGGGCACATCTCCACAGGTTACCGAGACAGAAATAGCAGCAGTGCGTCACTCACTTCGATAAGTAAGAAGTACCGATAGAGAGAAAAGGTTGCTGTAGTGCAGACAATTCAAGAAGTTTAACACACATCTGAAGTGTCTAGTAGGAAGGAGCTTAGATCAGTCTGGCCATTGAGGTACTACAGTTGGGGCTCATGGTCATGCACTTGTATTTGCTAGACTAAGTGAATTTAAAGGTTACACTGTGCTAGTCTTCCTTTGAAATAAACTGGAAGAATCTAAACTGTCAGTCTTACTCTTAATTATCAGCTTTATGACCTATTCACTAGACAAATGGAGTTTAAACTGCACTCATGGAGAAAGATGCTAGCCAGTCTTAGAAAAAAGTGATGAGCTGAACCTTGCCTATACCTAAAGATAAATAAGTAGCTAAACTTAAAAAAGCTTGAGAAGCATATGCTGTGCAGTGTGACTTCCCCTTTGGTTTATATGAGCACAGTCTCAGCACAGTATCTTCAAATGCAGACAGTTCCAAAGAGTCAGCTTTACTATATGTACGACTGAGGACATTGACATAAAGTTGGAAGTTTGAAAGCAGAAGACTGTCATTGTGCTAAACTAGAAGATGAATAGCCACATTATACTAGATTCTGGCTGTCTGAAATAAGAGACAGAATTATAGGAAACTGTTGTATACTTACAGTAAGAGTATATTAATATAATCATTACAAAGTGTTTACCTCTGGTTGAGCAGCAAATTCTCTAAGAAGATGTCCATTCCATACAAACCGTGGATCTGCCTGCAGCAAGAAAAAAGCCAACATGCTCTTAGAGACTGTCAGTTCTGTTCAATTCAACATAAAGGGAATATCATAGTATCCATGCATTACACAAGTTTAGGTGAACAGATGTACATAGAGATGGAATGTCCTTCTTTCATCAGTACCATTCATAACCTCAACTAGAAGTCTAAATAAAATAAAAATAGTTAAAAGAAGAACAGTTCTCTCCAATCTTTAAGGGTGTTGCCTGACACTTCAGGCATGCTGAACCATTAACAACTGAGCTGCAGTATTGGAAGAACATTCCAGTCTTTGCCCTAAGTAACCAGGGCTTGAAGAGATTATCCAAAATTTTAAGAACAGTAGTAAGGTATCACTCCTAAAATGGGCAGAAGGTAAAAATGCAAGGAGTCCTGTATGCAATAATCAACAATTCTGAGAATCGAATGTTAAACAATACTTGTAGCTTAAAAGACAAAAGTATTTATATTCCACTGCATAAATGATCCTCTTCAACTTTGCGTATTCCCTACTTCTAATTCACCTCAAAAGTGTCTTGAGCACATTGCTGAGCACATTCCAGAAAGCTACCAGATTAGTCACAAAAGTGACATTTGCTGCAGAACATAGTGCAGGCTCCAGGGAAGTGGTATAAATCTCAACTTCAAGATGAGGCAGGCAGATGATACATCACTGAATGTAAGAGGGTTAATTCAAGCTCAGTGTTCGAACAGTCCTTTGTCTAATAGAAAACAACAAATACAACTACATGCCAGGAATTGATCAAATCCTAGTTGCAGCATCTTGAACTAGTGAAAGAACATGACATGATGCTTTTGTGGGGCTGTTTCCTTCTACCAGTACTATTTAAAAAAAAAAAACAACCACACAAAAAAAACACCGCACCAACAACAAACACCACAAATATCAAATCAGAACACCCACACACCAAACACAGGCCAGGCTTCTCCTGTAGAGGTGAACTGGAGATGCCCCAAAATTGCCACCATCCTTTCGTTAAGCCATTATACTGCAACCACATGAGTGTGAAATTACATTGAAATTGTTTTAACCATCTAACATCTGAATTTACTGACACCTTTTTACTGTACTTTGCCTTTCAAACAACCTTCTGAAGAGCCACAATTTTAAGGTAAACCAATCCTTTCATGTCAGCAACTGCTCTCCCTGGCAAGAGTACTGCCAGAGCAGCATTTGATAATGCAAAATAATCCCCAACTATAAGGTGATTTTTAAACTTTTTTTTGTTTGGTTGGGTTTTTTTTAATCTTGGAAAAAGTGTACTGCTTCCCCAGCTTAGACAGTTTCAGTAACGAAGAGACAACATCTCATGACTCCACTGCCACCTCTTCAGCAAAGGAAGAAAAAGCGCTATTGACTTCCAAGGTTTCAATATTTCAGCGCCTAAGCAGTTTAGACCTTGTTTACACTGCAGTATAGTAAGTTACCAGACTAAGAATTCTGGAACTCTGGAAGCACAAGAGAATTTTAAGTTCAAATTGCATTTGGCTGTGTGATTCTATTGTCTTTAAGACAAAAGCAGCATATTAAATTCATGCTTCAAACATAAGGAATAGGCATAGTTTAGGCAGAATGCAACATCCTAGGGCCAACAGCCATAAACCCCACAGTTCTGTTCATGTTATCCTGGAAGAGAATTTGAAGCCAAGTGCCATTTATTCCACTTTGTGCCCCCCCGCCCCCGATTCTAGGTTAAAGGAATGACTTGCTTTCTCTCATTTTTCTGCTTAGTTCCTTCTTGTTGCAGTTAGAATTGTTCAATATTGAAGTCAGAGGCAAACTTTCATTTATTTTGAATTTTTTAAATCCATTTAAAGCAGACTTCAGAAAGTACTTCTAATCTGAACAGATTTCTAGAACTGCATGTTGCTAACAAGCTATGAGACTTAAGGAAGGGTGGACCAGTATGTTCAGCCACAACCCCTAACAGTTTCAATAAAATGCCACAATGCTGAACAAACTTGTGTACTGAAGCATTACAGACCAGCAATTTCCACCCTTATTCTAAGCACCCTACGAAGCAAACTCAAACTGTAACTTGACTCAATGTACTTTGCACACTTGCTTGGTTGCTTCTATTTCCTCTCACTGTCAGCATCTTATTCCAGAGAACTGCCCCAGTACAACTCGATTGACAAGATCACAGAGATAGTCTAGTTACACAGTTTAGCAACATAGTGCTATTTTTTGCTAGTTCTATTATAAGGATTTGCATCTAAGCAACAATCTGTTTCACTAGTTTAAATTAATGATTAAAATAGTAAAGCCATTTTTAGTTTAACAGAGGACCATAAATGCTTTAACAGTATCCGCTACCATTTAGCATATTAATTCATTGTAAAAAAAAAAAAACAACAAAAAGAAGGTTTCATCTCAAGTGTAATGGGACCACCGATTTCAGCAACGCCATCCTAAGCTTTATGTAAAGTTTCCTTTAGTTTGTGATAGTTTGTTTTGACATCATTTAGACACCAGCTGCATAAACTAAACTTAAGCCATGCAGAACTGATTGGCAATGTCTGAGACAGACACTAAGTAAAATGAAATCCTTACCCTCTCTAGGAGGCTCATTTCCTGGAATTCTGGGCTCGTGTTGGCTAACCGTTGCAGAGTGTGTGTTAGGTCATACGTTGTTGAGAAATAAAATCCATCCACGCTCAAGACATGACTAAGCATTGACAGAAATACTTTATTGTCCTGCAACTGTTGAGAGGAGAAAAAAGGACAAAAGAGGTCTCATTTATTACCACTGAAATATATTATTCGTGAGCTACCACTACTTTTTGAACTGAAGAGATGAAATTTGCTAGTGCTCTAGCAACACATGACATCATCCAGAGATTACCACACAAGAAGGAAACGATGAGATTGCAATTTTGATACCAGTTCACTGATAACTTACAGCTAGCACACTGCAACCAGATTCTGCAAGAACAGTGGAGAGCAGAGAACAGTGTTCCTGTGAGGTAAATAGCTACTGATATTAAACTAATATTAGTGACTTCCAAGCAAAAAGGAAGCCATTAGTTTCCCTGAAAACCATTCAGTCAACATACAGAGACAAGATGGCAATGCAAAAGAAAGTATATAACTTACTGTCAAGATTACCCCAATAGCTAATCTGTGTTCTGGTTCAAGTTTGATTAACCTCATTCCTTTCCTGAAAGAGCATCAGATTTCCTTTCAGCTCCATTGGTTAGACACCCTTATCTACTCTTTATCAATCCACAACGTATCTCTTTTAAACAATCTTCATCCTTTCCCTCCCTCTCAAAAAAAAAACCAAAAAACCAATTTTTCCCTGCTGGGTAATTATGTAATTGAACAATTCCATAAATTAAGCAACACAGATAATTAGATGACAGCAAGGCAGCTTATTGTAGGGGGCTATCAGAATAGTAGAGCTGTGAGAAAGGCGTAACAGGAAGAGTACTGTGATTTTGTGGACTGGCTCAGGGAGCCTGCTTTGTAATGGGCTGCATTTGTGCGATCTATTACAAAGCAGCACTAAAACACCTCTGCAATATGCCAGGCAAGCAAAGCCTTCGCGAAGGTCCTCAGAGGAGAAAAGATGATACAGGATTTAGGAACAAGAACAGAGATGCAGCAAGACAGTCCACCTCATCCTCCCATACTGTACCACCTTAAAAGGGAGAAAAATGCACAATATGCAGATCAAACTCTGGGGATGATATTCTAAATTGCACAATGTGAGTTTGTTATCTTGAATGACATAACTTTATATACATCTATACCCAAATATTACATCAATTGTAGTAGCCTGAATAAATCAGAGAAAAAAGTATAGTTCAAAGAGCTTCTTAAAAAATTTTCATAGTTTCATCAAATTGGGTCCCGTGGTAATGGACATTAACATAAGATAACATTCCCCCACACTTCCCTAATCAATCCACCTACCTGAATATCAGTTAAGTGCAGCATGGTCTTTTTGTAGGAGAGGATGTCAAAGTCTGTTGCTTTCCAGATTGCATGACTGAAAATCTCACCTACTTTTTTCTTTTTTGTTATTACAATAAGATATGTGCCTATAAATCAGAAAGAGCGAAGTTTAAAAAAACAATAAGATATGTGCCTATAAATCAGAAAGGGCGAAGTTTAAAAAAACAAACAAACATGCATATATTAAGAAAAAACATCCTATAACCATACCAGAAAACTGAAACCAATAGGGAAGAGTGAGGTTTCTTCAAGTTACACCTAGGACCTTATGTTCTTAACAGTAAGGGGCTGAAACAGGAACAAAACGCACTTGCTAAGCTACCCACTTCTCTATGCTCACAGATCTTGAGCTACTCATTAAGTTTAAGGAATTAAAAAGAATGGACAAGATAAAAAAAAGTGTCAGCTAATCTTACTTCAGACCAGAGACAGTCTGAAAGTCTTTAGGCTTGCAAGTGCTGAAAGAGACCAATGGTCTTGAATGCAGTTTGGAAAGCACAGAGCAAGTCAGAAATACACAAAAGGAAGCATGCTTCAGAATCCAAAAAGCCTCTTCATCTTATCCTGAGAAAAATATTTATCCCAATAGCTTCAAAATGGAGCAAAGAGAGGGGGGTTTCTTTTAATAATTTAAGACAGGAAGTTTGCTCTTTTCCTGGTTGCATAAGTAACAAAGCGAAAAAACATAATCATGACAGTTCACTCAAAGCAATTAATTTACACTTGTTGGTAAACACAACATAGCCTTATTTCCAAGCCTATCGTATTTCAGTGCCATCTTGTTTTTGAAGAAAAAGGTTACTTTATTAAATTGGATACTGACAGATAAAAATGTCTCATCATCTGCATTTTATAGAGCAAAACAATGAGCAGGCCATGCAGAAGTACAGAACTACAAATCTAGTACATTTTTGTACTAAAACAAAGAAGTATAAATGCCAAAGCAGAAGCAGTTCATTGTGTGCAGCAAGTTTACCCATTATTTGTATTTACTACTATACCTACATATACACCAAGTTTTAAGGACAGGTGAATTATTATATCAGGTATCTAGTCTATATAGCTAGTCAAAGAACAGGTACCACCCCCACTTTTTTTACCTCCGCAGTTCTAGTGTTATACCTTTTAATTGGGTGGAATATTCAAGCACTTAAGAATGCTCTAGCATGTTTACATCTCAAGTTGTAAGTATTGCTTTAGGTTGGTATGTCAGAAGCATCCAGATACTTTATAAAAACTGCACATTACATTCACAACTATGCCATAAAGATGCTGCACAAACAGATACATTTAATCTGACACGAATTTTGCATATTGTCTTTTCCTATTTGGGTATGGAACCTTCTGTTTAGATTTCAGAGCTTCAGATATTACTTCAGCAATTTTTTTCCCCTAGTACTGTAAAAGGTGAAGAATATTTATGCTTGTTAAAGACACTGAATTGCTAGATATGGAACAGTTTTACAGTTAATAAATAACAGTGGACTGCCTAACAACACTTAAACATTTACTTTAACTGATACCATCCTCAGTTTGACAGCTGTATGCTAGCAATCAATGCAAAGCTTTGGGGGGTGGAAAGAAAAAAAACAGGCTATTAAAAGAAGTTACATACTTCTACATTTTATATAATATTCAGTCAGATGAATGAAAGTCATTACCAAGCCTGTAAGTTGTGAAAATTCCCTTTTGGGGCAGTTCAGTTTTAAAACAGTCAGGGCTTGTCAAGTACCCAAGACATTGTCAAGTACCTAAGTCCATTACATTGCTCTTACTCTGCAAGATCCACAATTCTTTAGAATATAAGCATATAAAGTTCATGAGTTTAAGACCCTGTCAGAAGTTACTGCATTTAACATAATGATACTTTGCTTCAGTTGAGAATACTGCTATGAGTGAACTGCAATTTAAGTTCACTCTACGTATGGAGACTTTTATCTGGTATGCACACTCCTTATTACATCTTTTTTCAGACTACGTTAGTCTCAAACTCTAATAAAGTCTGACCACAAAAGATCTTTTGAATAGCCACACTTACTTTCCTGGAAGTTTAGACTTTATGCATCAGGTTTATTTGTGGCAGTTTGTGTTTAGATCTCGTCCACTGAGATACTTAGAAAAAGCAGACAGCTTATTCTTTCCTTAACCCACAACTCCCTAAAATTTAGAATTGTTGGAACACAACCGTTACACGAACAGCTGCATCTACTAGTCTATCACTCCGTCACACTCAGTTATTTGTGTACCAAGATTATTGATTTAAAGTCAAACTTCATGACCCAATATTTGACTGTTGCATCAAATCCTATAGTTAAGATTAAAACAGTTATGAAGAGTAAGTAGATGAAGCTCTTTGCTTGCATTTGAAATGCATTCCTTAAAACTCAACCAGCTGTCAATTAACCCTACCTTTAGAGCAGCTACAGGTTTAAGACGTACATGAACATTCATGATAAACTGTATTTGGATACTCCATCCTCTAGCGGCCACAAGGAAAGCCCATCATACTGATGAAAGTGTAACCTCAGATACTTGCAAATACTATTTTTGTCTTCAAAGCTTCTTTAGCAATATATTTTGCCTAGTTATTTTTAAAGAGCGCAGTTCTATTTTCCTTACCTGCCACCAACCGGATTGTTCCCAAAATACCATATATAGGCCTTGTAACAGCTGAAGGGGGAACATCTTTCTTAACTGAAATGCAGAAGAAAACATCAGAATTTCAGATTGCTTCTTTCATTACTATATCAGAAAATGATTAAACTAGGTTTGTTAAAGCTTCTTGGTCAAATCTCAAGTTTTGCTAGAGTCTTGAGAAGCAATGCATCAGAATTTCAAAGCCTGATGTGGGGCAGGGGGGAAGGATGTGCAAGTACTCTAACCCAATTTCTCATGTTATTTAATCAAAATAGTAATTCAACTGAAGAAATTCAAGCTCATTTACATGATAGTAGTAATAGCAAGTAGACTCCTCAATGATGTATTGTCCTGCCAACTTCCAGAAACTTTTTGTTCTGAAGACATCAAGACATCAAGGACAAACAAACCGTAAGTGCTTGTGCCTTCCACTTTTGACTGCTGCTTCTGAGCCTCAGCCTATTTCCATTTCAGAAGACATAGTTTACTTTTGGTCTATCTGTGCAAAACAGCATAGATGTGGCAAGGGATACAGTATTCCAAACAACATACCAAGAGATCCAACAGGTATCTAAATATCAATTAGAAGTCCTAGCATGTTAAACTTCCATCTATCCATATTTCTAGAATAGCTGAAGGTATATTAGAGAAGTTTAAAAAAAACCTTCAAAACACCCACACCAGAGTTAGGCATTTTCCCAGAGCTTGGAGAACAGAGAAAGACAGCGCTTGATTTTTCCTTTGCTTTAAAAACTTCGCAGGTTCATCCGATAAAACACCAGTAATGAGAATAGATGAAGACTAATAAAAGGCTTGGGACAGCTATCTCTACAGTTTTGAAGGGACAACTTTGAAGGAGAAATTGAAGTATTATACTACAACACCAAAATTATCAGTGGGATGAGCACACTGCTCTTACAGGAGGTATACAAGAGACCTAATAAAAGGAAAAGAATGACTGCTTTTATATTAATATTACTGTAGCATTTCTGTCTGTTTAGAGACTAGTAATACTGAGGTACAAACTCCTGAAGTATCAAAAGGGAAGTCACGCATTGCCTTAATTTCCTGTTGTCATTTAATGCAAGTTCTTTGATTGTTTTTATGCATTAATTTCACATTCTTAAAAAAAATTAAACTAAAATTTTGAAGACTTCCGCATCAGTATGCTTAAGACTACTTGCACTGACATTTGAATCCAGATTTGCAACAGAACTAAATTTACAGCGAGGGTTTTTTTACTGTTCTTGTTTCTAGAGGCTTTATGAAAATTCAGGTTTCAGTATTAAAAGACAGTGCTGAGACAATTCGGCAAAAGCTACAGAAGTCCAGTGTTCAACCCTTCCTATATTTAATCTTGGACTTGTAGCACCAATCCCAACTATCCTGGATGAGTCAGTTTTTACTGTTGTGATGCACAGTCTTACCAAAAAGAGGCAAGCACCATCACCCTGGTTACCCACAGCATCAATCCCACAGCGAGAAGGCATTTCAAACAAAGTTCTTTGCAGGGTAGAATACAAAGCACTATTTTAAAACAGTAACTAAAGATAAAAACAATTCTCCCAGTATCAATTTAAGGTTCTGAAGATCTTCTGGGAGTGCCTGGAGTAAAATAACAGACAAGAGAGGCCTATGTTAAGAAATACTGGTGAGGAGAATACCTGTAAGAGTGACTTCCGTGGAGACTCTATCAATAGCAAGCACATCATCCGCTCCATCATCACAAGCTTCCACAAAGAATTTCTCTGGTGTTATATGCCTTTAACGGAATGGATAGGAAAAAGGAATTTGTTTAGCAACACTTACTTTGGGTTTGTTTATTTATATTTAAGCTCTTCACCAGGTGAAGATAGAGCAATCTTAAACCTTATTCAGCTGCAAAACCAAAATTCTCATTAGATTACTTCCCAATAGCCACAGATATTGACAGTGCATAAAAAGCAAATCAAACTAATCAGTTACTGAAAAATACATGGCTTGTTTAAGAATCTTAATTCTTATTTAATACTGAAAGTTAAAGACATGAAAGTGAATTTGTGTACATAGTGGTTCACTATATAATTCATGTAAGCTTGAACTATGTCACTTAGAAGTCTGATAAGCCAAAACCAAACTTCAAATTATAAAGCTTTTTAATTAAACACTTTCTAATATGAGAAACTGAAGCACCACATCCCTGATGCAAGTCTAGTAAACACAAAAATAATGTCCTAAGTGATAAAAACACCTGTTTCACATTAGAGTGTTCCAAGTATTGTAAGAATCCACCAGAAACAACACAGGAAAAAAAACAGAAGAATGAAAGTCACACACTAGTTTATTGAAGCAGGTGTCTCAGCATTACCATTCCCCAAATTTGTTAGCCAGGTCTATGTGACACACATGGGGTAACCTGTATCCTCACCATCAGACACATTAGACAAATCACACACTGACATCCTGTTCAGACTTCACACCTATCCTTCCTTTAGATAAACTGTATGCAGTACAACACCAGCCATAAAATTAAGTAGTTTTCAGAAACAGTCCTTAAAAATACACCTCTTGAGATACTTGCAAGAAGCCAGACATGTTATACTGTGCAACAGTACAAGAGTTATGCAGAAATGACTTGTAGCTGTACATAGGAAACGCTAAACAATCAAACAACCCCAAACACTCTTGAACTAGTGTTCTTAACTCTCATAATGATTTTTCTTAGTTTAAGGGCTTGACAAGACTGGGGGTTGAGTTTTAAACATCTTGTTCTGGAAACTTCTTCTACAGAATAGATATTTTTAGGCTCCTTCTCCATAAATAGATCTTGCATTTCTTCACATCTTTTGTATTTTTTTTAATCCTTCAGAAAGCTGAATTAGAATCCTAATTTAGATCAGAAAAGCCCTTTGAAAGAGGTCTAGAAGACCTTTTTTAACATATCTAACACCTCACCTTCCACCCACTAAAAGCAGAGCCAACTTCAAAGTTTATCCAACTTCAAAGTTAAACCCTGTTTCTTACGGTATGTTTTGACTTCCCCAAGGATGGTGATTCTGCAACCTCTCTGGGCAATTAGAGGAAAGCCAGAGGAGACAAAATGCTTAACTGAACTGAAAAAAAACCCCAGAAACATAACACAACACAAACTGTAAAGCAATCAATAGTTAACTGTTCATCAGGTAATTTAACTTCTTCAAAGGAAAATTAGTCAATGGGTCCTAAAATGGGAAACACATCAACAGTATTCCCCTTGTAAATCAGCCTTCTTAAAGCATTTCATACGTGTACATGAAAGATTACCTTTGAAACTAAAAACATCAGAGTAAGAAATACAAACATGCAGTTCATTGAACACTGAAGCCTTAAAACCCCTACTTTGCTTTCATTGCTTCTGTTTGCACCCCTGGCTCTTTAAGGGGGTTTCATAGCAATAATGGGAGCTGGTTTTGTGGTAAAGAGCAAACAGGCTTACACAGATAGAATGGGCAAGACAAGCTTAAGGACATTTATAAGCCCTCAATTTGTTAAAGAATTTAAAAAGAAATTAAATTTTGAACGACAGTTTCAGTTATTGAATACTCTGTATAAAGAGCACAACATAAACAAGACACCTCCACTGACTATATAGAGCACAACTGAGCATTTCCCTCCATGATCAGTATTTTTGAAAGCTGATCTTTTCATTATAAAGTGCAACATGGGCATGACTGTATTATAGACTCAGCACTGAGATTCACTTGCATATTAGTCAAAGCCCATTTTCAAACAACTGAGGAAAAAGCTTAGAGGTGTAGAATATTTGTCATATAAACAAGTTTTCTATTTACTACACTCAACAATAATAATTTCTCCCTGAAGAACATGAAGTCTTTTACCTGCATCATCTACAAGTTAAGAAAAATGAGAGAACTAAGGCTGCCAGTGAAAATTATGCCTGGCCTCTCAATATGCATCATATGCCCTGTTTCACTAGACCAGCCCCAGCATTTCTCTCTCTCTAATCCTATTTTGTCTCCCGTCACTACCATTGCCCTTTTAACAGTTTATCACCTTTATCTCCTCTTACACAATGCCTGTACATTTCTATCTTTGCTTAAACTACATTTTACCCTTGACACACATAGAAAAGAAAACTTTGCCATCAAAATCCTCCTTCCTACTGTCCTCTCCAAGACCAGATTTGGTGAAAAAAGTGTCATGGAGAACACAAGACAAGTGATCCCTGTTTTCAGTTCAAGGCTTCAGCAGCTTGCAGCACACTGGAACAGTCTTGGCATCAACTGTTTTGGAGCTTTGGGTGTTTTTCTTTTGGAGGTCTTTTTTGGGGGGCAAGAGGAAATCAGGTTGCCAGTCTATGAAGTAGAGAGAACTTAAACAAATACTTCTCTGTTGGGATCACCGTTAAAAACTGCCTAAAATACAACTGCACAATACCACAAATCAAAAAGCCCAATGCCCTGCAAAATGTTAAATCCTTGCTTCAGAAGAAGTGGGAGAATTAGTGGTCTTCAAAGTTTTTAACAGAAAGATGATTCACTTAGTCATTGCTTCATTTTTGTAAATAGTTGAAAGTTTTCTAAAATAAATATAGTTGAAGAACAGGCCAAGACTCAAAGACATTTCAGCCCAAATGCTGATTTACAAACTTTCCAATTACCAGAACTAGACTGGTAGGCTCATTCTCGTTTAGATGACCTTTTCAATCGTAAGATTGCTATAACCATGATGATTGCCTCCCACTTCTCTTTCAGAAACGAAGCTGACGGACACTGCATGCAAGAATGGTGTTTTTCCACAGACTCTACTCGGTACCAAGTCTGTATGTCTACCATAAGCTTATAAAGATAACACACATGCTTATTTTACTGATCTGAGAAGTATTAATATGCTGAAAGAAGGATCATTCACAATGATTAGGAATCTGCAGACAGATTAATTCTGTTCCTTTAATGAAATAAGGAACAGATGAAAGTCCAAGTGCCAGTATTGTAACAAAAATTTTCAAGAAGCCCATAATCTCTGTAGTTACTCTTAAACCTAGTTTTCATACACCAGGCTATATTCTACTTTTGTATAACCTTCGTATTTGACACTGGAGCCTGCCTTCTCCTTGGCTACATTGTCACCATCCAAAACATCAAGAACTCTTAACAGCAATATCTTGCTTCCATTACAGCACATAAAACCTTCACAAAATCTGAGTTCCTCTCATTTATTTTTTTTTTTTTTTTAAACCTGACCAACATTATCGTGGACTATTTCTCAGTGTTGCTAAAGAACAAAGGGAGTAATAAATGGAAAGAGTTGACATTGATAGCATAACTCATGGTACTCAAGAAAAGGAAAGGTATTGAAACACTGCAACCACCAAATTCAAGTATTACTGAAGGTGACTTGGATCTTATTTTGAAAATCTTCTCCAACTGAAACTGTGTGGATTGTTGCCAAGAGATAAAGCACCTCATCCAGTAGATTTCATCTCTACAATTCAAAGTTGAGAAAAAAGTATCTGCAAGTGATTTAAAGATGACCTAGAAGGAAAACATAGCAGTTACACATCAGGCCTTAGTTTGAATTTGGTTGTGGTTTTTGTTTGGGGGTGGGTTTTGGTTGTTTGGGTTTTTTTTGTTGTTGTTTGTTTGTTTTTAAATAAAAGGCACTTTTTCATTATTTCAGCTCACGTTGCTGAAGAAACAGCCAAAAGGAAAACCTATGCGAAAAGGGTGCACAGAGGCTACAATAGAAAATGCTTTCAACTATCTTACCTTTAAGAAGCAAAAAGAAAATTCAGTAAAACTCTCACTAAAAGTTAAGCCTTCTGATTTTCTAGTTTCAGGCACAACCACTGCTGTGAAATCATTCTGATCATTGACATAAGTGAGTAAATCCAGTAATGTAGTAAACCAAGAGAAAACTAAATGGCTCTATTGAAGTTAGTCCCCATACTCTCCAAAACTGGGCTAAGTACTGTGTTGCAGCATAACAACCTTTTAGATGCAAGAGGCATTTTTAATGCCCAGACGAGAGACACTCACATGGGCCCGAGAAAAGGAAAAAAGGACAAGTGCACCTATGACCAGTTAGAATCTGAATGCAAGTTAATTCAGTATATCTCATTTCTGTAGTTATTTCAGTAGCATCCAAGTCATGCTTTGAATAAAAGATGTTTTCCACATTTATAGTGAGTGTCTGAATAAGGCTGCTGTTATGTCAAGAGTGGTTTTCCTCCAAAAATTTCTGAAAGCTCCTACAAAAGCACAGATACTTTGAAATTACCTTAAAGCAGGAAGTTTCACAGTTTTGTGTTTTTTCTTGTTAGCTATTTATATTACAAAAGAGTCTCTATTCTTCTGCATTCAATTCAGGTTTACTGTATTCCTGCGCTTCACAAGAAATTAACAGAGGAAGTCATTCTACCTCAAAACTCTTGAGCTGCATCTTAGAATCTTCTAAGAAAAACCATCTTCTGTTGCTTAACTGACTGCTTTCATGGATCTCTTTTTAAAGACATTGCCTTCTCTTTTTAAGCCATTAATCAAAACAAGAGTTGTCCCATTTAATAATCCAAGGCAAAAGGCTGCCTTACAAAAGAAAGTGTTGATTCCCAATATAGAAACATAGAAGAAAAGACAAAAACATTGCTTGCTTATACCATGTATAAAGTCAGCTTAATTTACAGTTAAGTGAGATAGTCTTTTTTAGTTTGTATATTTGTTGTGAAGTTTCACTTCATTAGTTATATTATAAAGCAGTGTTGTACATCATGAAGATGATGCAGAG